TTTTGGAAACATTTTCGTGTGTTTAACGTTTCTTCTTTTTCTTGGACATATTAGTAATTTAGTATTGGTTAACGAATATAATGGGATCAGTTCTGAGATTTTTGAGGTTGAAAAATTGTGGCCTCGTTGCATAAATACTAGCTTTTTTATTTTCATGACACCAAAAGGTAAAATTCAATAGAAATTCATAATCAATTAAATAGTAATTTAGAGAAATTAAAAGTTTTGATTGTTTTTTCAAGCAAATCTGCATTAGTAGCATTTTCCACACAATCCATTCTAGGGGTGATTCTAAACAATCTAGAATTATATTTGGAAACTAGCTTGAAATAATTAGTCTGTAGGTGCTAAGTCATAATGAATTCTTGAGAGAATCGTTGTTTTTTATCCAAATTTCAGGCTCGAGCTCAAGATAACTAGAACATTAAGTTCACATTTGGGACTTAATACCCTCATTAAGTTGCAAATCTTGGTTTGTTTAGTAAGAATAGTGTAATGTGTCAATTTGGTCCTGAATTATTACACGAGTGAAAGTAAAATTTAAAAAAAAAAAAAGTCCTTAAATTCATTAAAAATGGTAGGTTCTCCCTACTATAAGATTCTTAATTATTGTTTTTAATTTTCTGTCAATTTAAGCCACATCACTACAGATGACGCTTTATCGCAGTGATAGAAAACAATCATACCTATGTACTTTAATAACTAACAATTTAATGCTCTAACGCCATTGTTTGTAAAAAAAAAAGTCTCATAACTTACATGTGATACACTTTAAATGGTAAATTGTCTAGCATGAAGAAAACAAGGCAAAGTGAGATTTGGGCTGAGTTAGGTTTGTAACAGAGCACCAATGCAGGCCCATAATGAAGCAGGACCAAAATCTATATGTCTTGGCTTAGGCCTGGTTTGGTACTGAGGTGATTCTGAAAAAAAATTGGTATAAAAAAAAAAGCTAGGATCTATTTTTGTGTTTGGTAAACATTCAGCTTCAGCATTTTTTCACAGTTTTTGGTGAAAAAAGCCAAAAACAAGAAGCTGCAAAACCCAGCTTTTAAAAATTGGTTTTTTTTCACATCTGTTTTATATAAAAGCTTACAAAACATTATAATACTGTTTTTTTTTTTTTCAAAAGCACTTTTACAAAAAAGTTAACCAAACACTCTGCTGTTTTATTTCACAACTACTTATTCTCACAGCACAGCAGAAACAATTTTTTTTCAAAGCACAACAATACCAAACCAGCCCTTATACATCACTGCAGAATTAAACTCAATTCAAGTTCGCGGTACCTGCCGAAGATAATTAAACAATGTTTTGTCCATCTATACAGGTTTCAGACGTAAATGAATTATTAATTAATTTTTGCACAACATAACACCATGATCTTAGTTTTGTTGCATAAGAAAAGTGTTGGCTAACATATGATCTGAGCGTTCAATAATATTAATACTAAATAGAAAGTACACAAAAATATATTCATACGAGAAGTGTTGTTTTGCATGATTACAATTTACACATGCTGCTTCATGATAATTGGCAGTCATGCATCCAACCAGCTGTGACAGTTTACTACTGTTCTCAATTTTAATTTTTTAATTTATTATAAATCAATATATTCTATCCAAAAATATATAAGCATTATAATGTAATCTGTGGGGAGAAACAAAAAATTAATGGTCTCATCTGTGAATAACCAATATAACTGAATTTCCAGTTTTGATCCTTCTGGATAACCATTTCGAATAAATAAAGAAAAAAAATTAGACCAATTCGATCTGTTCTTACAATTGTTTTTTATAAATAAAATAAAACTTTATCACGTGGATCCAAACATCCATAAGAAAATGTTGTATCGCATTTTGATTGGTGAACCAAAAACCAATTAATAGTGGAAGTGTGGACCTCAGTTTTGATTGGAGCTGTTCCATAATTTAGGTCATCACTTCACATTCACACCTACCACTTAAGATTATTTTAAGGGAAAATACATATTTATATTATAAGGATTAAGGTTCAAATGCTGTAGCATAGAGACGTCAGTTTTGTTTTTATTATTTCCGTAATCTGTTTGTCTCTGACCTCTCTCTCTCTCTCTCTCTATCTCTAACGCCATTTCTTTGACCCGTCTTTAAGCTTCATCTTGATCGCTTGACTACCAAAAGGGCAACGCATGCCATCACCGATAAGAAGAACATAAGTTTACAGACCAAACATAAAAGAACACAAAAGAAAAAAGGTTGATATAATTAACTAATTATCTTGTTTCTTTTCTTTTGAGTTGTATACGTTTAGGCCAATAGTTAGTTGATAGTAGTTTTTAACAACTTGAGCTATAAAGAAGAATAAATCTTTACGTGCCTAGTGCTGTTATTAGCCATAGTCTACTAGCATTATTTGTGCAAACCTCTCTAGATCCTAATGGTCCTGAAAATAACAAGGATATAACCTCCAAACACAACAAGATGGGATATTCTTTTAGACAAGGCATCTTTTTCTCTTGCTTCTAAAACCTACATTTTCTAGGCATGCAAGCAATTCTTGTTCTTTGTACATACTATTGCCACAAGCAACTGTCCAAACTTTCTAACCTCTTATAATTCTAACAAAAAACAAAAAAATTAGGTACAAAGTCTTAATTACCCTTGTTAATATTAATTATTTCCATCCTCTTTCCCTCTCCTTTCTCGCAAGTTTTTACTTTTTAACAAAGGAGGTAGGAATAATGTGGTTCAAATTATTTCCGTCCTCTTTCCCTCTCCTTTCTCGCAAGTTTTTACTTTTTAACAAAGGAGGTAGGGGAGTGAGTTAAGTCTCACAATGAGCTAGCAATAATGTGGTTCAAATTTATTTTTGGCAATAATCGAATATAAGATCTCTCACTAACCAGTGAAGAGAAAACCACTCGACCATAGTACTAAGTGGCTCATTTTCTGGCAGGTTTGAGCTGCTACAATTGTTGCAATAGTTGGGCAAGACCTCATTAGATAACTCGTCCATTCTATGGTTTTAGGATCCCACATTTGATATGCAATCCTCGTAGAGTCACAACCCCTGATTCTGCAAAAAGCAGATCATGCGCAGACTACTAATTTTATAGTCGAGACATTTGACAAAATCGACCACTTTCATCTCAGTGGTGATTCATCCCTTCATCTCTCCTATATCTAAGTATTGCTACTAAGATCTCGGGATTTTCTAGTATGTACCTCGGAATCCCTGGCTTTTGGATCATTGACTGCATTCATTGCTCCAAGAATATTATATACCGGAGCATAGTATAATATTTGGTAAAGATCTTTAAGTAAAATATGTAGAAATATACGGTTTAATTGAACTCTCCATTTCTTTAATGTAAAAATGTCGATTTACCAAAAAATATGTAGAAATACACAGCTTCTTGCCTCATTCAATTAGCCAAGTACGAAAGCAAATATTGAAAAGAATCCGACGTCTTCAATAGGGTGAAGTTTTCATTAACTAATCTGTCCTTATGTGGAGAAGGAGAGGGGAAGAGAAGATGAAATTGATTAGTAAATTAAAGGTACTTAAGACATTTTACTTGGGTTTTTGGTTAGAATAATAAGAGGTTAGAAAGTTTGACAAAAATTCAATCCATGCCTCTTAAATTAGCTAAAAAAATTTCAAAAAATTAAAATCGGTGAATAATGCAATTAGTATCGAGCATCTCTATCTTTTGGAAGGAATTCAACATGAAGATCTTTCAAGATCACGCATCCGATTTTAAGGCTGATTAAATGAATTCTATATGATTGTGGTGCAAGAGGGTGTATAAGTCTATTGCTAAAAAATTATATTTGACCCTTTTTGTGATAACTTGTAATCTTAAGTTTGTTTTGTGTCAATGGTGCATGATGTTATCAAGTAAGTTGGCCGTTTAGCATATAATTATATTTGACCCTCTTGCACACTAATTGAGGGAAAGAAAAATTTCGAATCCTCAATACATAGGTCGAAACTCAATACCCAATACTATACTTAGTAGAATATTTGAAACAATTATGATGATTTGTGTATCATGACACTGTTATAGACTGAGGTAATACTCATCAATTAAACGCCTCCTTATACTTAGCTTTCAAAGTTGATGGGGGTAACGAAGGATCCAAATGCATTCTTATGACGCTGAAAGATCAATAGAAAGAAGTTTCGTTGACGACATTAAATGTTAAAACATCCTCGTAATGTACTAAATACTCATGATGGGCAACCTAGTCTGCCAACCTAATAAAAAACAGACACCAAAAAAAGTATCAATTCTTTCACCAAATTTAAGGGAGTTTACATCCATATTAATGGATCATCAAACTAGGAAGAAAATCAAAGATATAATAAGAAAAAAGATTGAGATTCTTTTTTGGCAAAAGAAAATAAGAATAAACTTATTTAGACAGGAGAAAGTGGCGATCGAAATAGAGGTATTTTCTTTTAAATATAGAATATTTAAAGTTATTTTTTTCACAAAATTACAATAAATTTATCTCAACTATGAGAAGATAATTGTTATTAACACATTAAAAATTACATTATACACTCTTCACAAATGTATTTTCTTTTAAATATAAAATGTTTGGATTGCACAATAAGAATATTAGACTGCCACTAATAATTCTATTTTTATTACAACATTACTACTTTAAACTATACCAAGAGGCTTGAGGATTTAAACTTAAAACCAAAACATCATATCAATCACTACTTGCCACGAATGAAACACATGTCATGATACAAGCGAAAAAACATATTATTTCATCTACTTATATAATGGCATGTCATGTGAAATAATCTCTCAATACATTGACCTCATAATTAAAACATGAGAAATATTAAGAAGATTCTTTTAAAAGTAAGACACTTTCTTGAACTGGCCGTTAACTTATGTTTTTAACACGATTATGTCCAAATATTATAAATAAAATAAGGTGACGTGAGAGAGTTTGTTTTAAAATTTCTCTTAAAACAGTAGACACCATGACGCTTGGGTCTTTATAGAGATTAGCGGAGGAGTACAAGGAGGAGGAGGAGGATCCGACACTCCATACGAAAGAGATACAAAAGCTCCACTTCGGGACTTCACGCAAACTCCTGGAGTCGTTTCTCTCTGTCTCTCCTCCCTCTCTCTGTTTTGGAGAAGGATCCTTCTTAGATCTGAAACTTTGATTCAACTGTTCGATCCAGTTTTAAAATTTCCCACTACTTTTCGATTCACTCCGATCTCCGATTCTCTTAAAACCCTTTTTTGTTTTTTTGAAGATCAGAGAAGATTATCGCAAAGCATACATGGGAATTTCATAGTATTATTTCCATATATAAAGGAGGGAGCTTTTGATCGGGGCAGTGCTAGCCTACTCCAATGGGGTCCCCTAAGCGAGAAAATGCTTCTTCTTCTTCTTCCTCCTCTCAACTCACAGACGCTTCGATCTCCGGCAAGTGATTCAGTTTCTCTAATTTCCTCATTCATTATTATTTTTTATTATGTTTCTGTAATTTCTGGCCCTCCAAATCGAAAACCCAGAATTTGTTTTATGTTTGGAGTTTGTGTTTATTAATTTATTGAATTGAAAATTTTGATATGTTAGAAAGAAGTAGACTTTTAGGTTTAGTAGTTGGAATTTGAATTAGGATGATAATTGAACTATTAAGTGGATTGCAAATAGAAAAAAAAAGAAAAAAAGAAAAAAAGAAAAAAAGAATTGTAACATTTGAGGCCAAAAGGGTCTTAAGCAAACAATTCTATTAAGCGAAATAGGGTCTAAGATATGAAGATTGATCTCGAAAACTATCCGATTTACTGGATTTGAAGTAAATGGGAATCCTTTTTATGCTTATCATGAATTGACAAACTGCAATTCTGTCGTTTGGCTCTATGAGTGTGTTTAGTTTAGTAGGACTATGAGTAGAAGGACATGATACAAATGTTTTATCTAGTTTAGATTATTTAAATCGTTTGGTAAAGGCTTTCCTTTCATGTTCTAGTTAAAAAGCTTCCATCTGAGATATAGTAGGCACCGAAGTATCCACCTCTGTGGTCATGCAACTTGTATATTTGCTCTTGCGAATGTTACAGTAGCCATCTCTCTTTCTTATAGGTATTGTGACTTTCATTTTGCACTTTTGATAAGCATAACTTAATCTGTTCAAACTATTTTCCCCACCTCTTTTCTCTTGTGTTAATGCTTCGTCACCAAAGTTTCAATATCAGCGGAGATAAGTCGTAAGTTAGTAACTATGATTAGAAAGTAAATGAATTCAATTATGCATCACCACTCTCTAAAGGAAGCTGTAGACCCTATCAGTCTTCTCTCACTGACTAAGTTGCATTATGTTTCAGGGCTCCATGAGAAGCATCAAGAGGAACTAGATAACTTGACACTAACATCACAACCCTTCAGAACGTTGAAGTTTTTCATTTTGGCTGTAATTCAGTATGTTAAGCGTTTAATATCATATTTGTTGGCAAGAGGTGGTTGGCTTATGCTTTCGAGTATTGTGCTATTGTCTCTTGGAGTTCTTCTAATTACCATTGATGGTCCTCATGAAAAGGTATATATTTATTTGTAGATTATCTTAGTGATATCACATTTTGCAACAAGTTATGTTCTTATAGATGAATCAGAGGTTTTCTAGCTGAAATTTTGTTCATTTATTATAGGGGCTGTTATATATGGTAAATAGGATTCTAACCTTGGGTCAACTAAACCCTTTTGTAGCTTCTTGATTGCGTCATAACAAGTCACGACCTTTTCAGAGGGCTCCGTGTTTTGATGCCTTTGCATGAAGGATACTTATTCTTATGAACCAACTTCAAATCTCTACCTCCATCTTTGGTAGCTGTATATTATTTTGGATAGGACTGCTTTAAGAATGCTGACACGTAATAAATATATCAAGGCAGTGAACAATCTTTAATGTGTTTACTTTGTGTGGTGCGGATGTTAATTTTTAGATGCATATTATTTGTACCCTCCTGATGGTGAACCATGATATTACATACTGTGTTCGCATTTATCTTAGTTGTTTTGTTTAAATGCTTCTTGGGAATTATGAATACAAGTTGCCATATTTCTGCAGCATCTTGAGGAACTTGTCAAATATTTCCAGTTTGGTTTATGGTGGGTGTCCCTTGGAATTGCATCTTCGATTGGTCTTGGTAAGCAACATGACAAAATCCTTGTTCCTATATCAGAATCTGATGGTGCAAGTAATTTAAGGTCGGGAAAAGGATGCTCTGGTTGTCAATTGCCATGCTTTTCATATTTTGAACAAGAAAGAGCATCTCCTCTGATATTGTTTTTAACTACTTAGCAACATCTTTCCTGGTGTGCACTGACCTAGCCTACCTGATATATGAAGACTTTTGCTTATTTTTCCTTCAGGATCTGGTTTGCACACGTTTGTCCTATATCTGGGCCCCCATATTGCGTTCTTTACATTAAAGGCAATGCAGTGTGGTCGGGTTGATCTAAAAAGTGCCCCCTACGATACAATACAGCTAAAACAAGGCCCTTCGTGGCTTGGGAAGAACTGCTCTGACTTTGGACCACCCTTGTTTCCATCATTACATGGTTTGCGGGTTCCACTTAGCAGCATATTACCACAGGTCCAGTTAGAGGCTGTTTTATGGGGTCTTGGGACTGCAATTGGAGAGCTTCCTCCATATTTTATCTCAAGAGCAGGTGAGCAGAACAAACCGTAGGTTGATAAACTCTCATACAACTAATATTTGTGCTAAGTGTTTACTCCCAAGGGCAGGTATGCAGGGCTATTAGCATACAAGCAAAATGGATAGGGGGAGGGAGGAGACCTTTCATCCAATTATCTACATTATTTATATATTTGATTTTGATCTTCTTTTGGTTTATTGCTTCATGTAGCAAGCCTGTCTGGTAACAAAGTTGCTGTGGAAGAATTGGATGATCCCTCAGATGAAGGAACAGGATTCATAGCTACTTGTCTAAACCCAATCAAGCGCTGGCTTCTATCACACTCTCAGCAGTTGAACTTCTTTACGATCCTAGTACTTGCTTCGGTTAGTTTGAACATCATTACTAGAATACCATTACCAGAAAATGTAACATTTAGTTTCATCCAAGTGAGCTTTTATGCTTTTCCATATGAAATCTATTATTTCCCCTTCATTACAGAGAATTCTTATTCAATATTACACGAACAGATATGCTAACTGATCAATGAATTTTGGATTTCTATTACCATACAGTAGTTCTACGAGTTCATGTTAGTCTTTAAAATCCAACTTTTAAGTCTTGAGATTTCTGAAGTATGTTACACATTAAAGCTGGTGTTCATATATACTTGTAATGCTGGACTTCTTGTTTGATCACAGAAAGCATCACTTGTTAACTTGTTATACTTATCATAAAATTGTTTTCATTACTATTTTCATTGTAACCTGCCAGTTAACCGGGATACTTTTCAGGTGCCAAATCCTCTTTTTGACCTGGCTGGCATTATGTGTGGACAATTTGGTATTCCATTTTGGAAGTTTTTCCTTGTAACAGTGATTGGAAAGGCAATTATTAAAACTCATCTACAGGTTTGTAAAGTTCCTTTTGGTATGTTTTGGTTTCACTTACGCAAAATATTTTTAGTTTTCACTTTTGGTATATATACTTAGGCAACCAGATGTTACGTATTGGCTTCTGATTAATGGTGGTGGTTTGCTTATTTTCTATATATGCAGACAGTTTTCATCATCTCAGTTTGCAACAATCAACTTCTTAATTGGATAGAGAATGAATTGATTTGGGTTTTCAGTCTCATTCCCGGTTTTGCTGCTGTCCTTCCTAACCTCATTGCAAAAATTGATGCGGCGAAGGAAAAGTATCTCACAGCTTCTCCTTCGTCAAATATCAAGGTAACTCAACTGATTATAATGCTACATTGGCTTTTAACTTCTATGTTGTCGTTTTTGACCTCAGGTGCGGGTTCATTTCAATTTGTCTAATTCAAAATCCTTGGCAGGTTAATACGTGGGACTTCTCATTTGCCTCAATTTGGAACTCTATGGTATGGCTTATGCTGATGAATTTCTTTGTCAAGATTGTTAATGCAACCGCTCAGAGGTATCTGAAGAAACAGCAGGAAATGGAGGTTGCTTTGTTGTCAAAGAAGTCATAGAATACCAGTCACAAAATGTTCGGCCATGCGCCTTAAAATGGTGGTACTGCTCTTTTTCCCTTTTATCTTTTCTTTTCTCCTATTCGGTTTGACAAGTAGAAGTAATAGAAATTGCTAGATACAGCTCTTTCGGAAGGCACCGTTGATCTCTCCCCAAAGTGTTCCGTGCATGTCCTTGTTAGAAAGCTTGTATAGGATAACAAATGTAATGGAGAACTGTAGAATGTGTAATTTTGGGGGAAGCATTATTTGGGGTGTTTATTACACCCCCTTCGTCAACTAAATGTTGAAATTAGAAATTGGAATGTTATTCTTTGCAATGCAGTGCAAGACAACGCTTATAATACATTTCGGTGATAATGTCTCTCTCTCGCTATAGGAAGATTTTATTGATTAAATACGAACAGTTACATTAGCATCTGTGGAAAAGGATCCGGCGAGGATTCCTTTTCCTGAGGATCCAGGGGATCCTGTGATGTGAAACTTTGTTGCACTCTCTAGGAGTAAACTGGAAAACCACATGGCTTAAATTGCTGCAGAGGTGTTGACATATTGAACGATACCTTCCACAGCCGTGTCTGTCTCGTCCCCGGCCTCAGCATGTCGATCGAGTTCGATTCTATCTCAATTTTGTACAGGGAAGCTTGTACTACGTCTCTTCCGCTAAAGACACATTGAAGGTGAAACCCCCTGAATTGGAGTTTCACACCGATCCATTCTAGTGCATCCGAATACAAACGATCCATCTTATGTTTGTCTTAAGTGGACGAACTTCCCTCACTAATGACTATATAATATGAATGAACATATTAGAAAAAACCCAATTGGACTATCAGTCCATGGTAATTGAAATATAGTCTCTGTAATAAAAAAATATATATATTGGGATTTAAACCGATGTGGTAAAGTCCGTTAGGATTTGGGTTTAAAAATTAAAAGTTTCGTCAACTTTTCGTTAATTATTAGCATGCGAGTCACACATGTGAGTTTAAAACGGAATTCTCCGTTAGCACATAAGGCTTACATATGAGGCTAACTTTATCTTTTTAGCCTCACAATTTAGGATCACTTGCTAACAATTAACTGAGAGTTGACGAAGTTTTAATTTTGGACTTAAATCCTAACAGACTTTATCACAAAAATTTGAATCTTAATTTTTATTATTTGACTACTTTATCACAAAAATTCAATTAAGCCTAAAATCTCCATATTTTACTATGAAAGCGTTCCAGTCAACGTCGTTATTAAAGTTTGTGTCCACGTTCCCAAGATCATGGTTTGATTCTCATCCAAGCCATATTCAAACCCATTTAGTATTCTATGGAAGCAAGGAGTAGTAGATTAATAATAAGTTGTTACTACCATCGGTTGTCATATAAAAGCCTAATAAACATATACAAGTTATACATATTTAAACACACACACACACAAAAACATATATATATTCTATCCCTTGGCCAACTAGTAGATTAAGATATAATATATCGACAAAAAAAAAAGATTTAAGATATAATATAATTAACCTACACAACTACACCGCAAGTGTTGCAACCAGATCATAGTACTTGGCATGAATATTGAATTGCCACAAACATCCCCAATGACATTATACACAGAGAGAGAGAGAGAGAGAGAGAGAGAGCAATTATTTAAAGTATATTTGTTAGCAAATAGTATACATTATTTAAGGAGGATGGGTTTAATATAAAGTATGATTTAGAATATAGAATTACTTTCCGGAAAATAAGTGATAGAATCGAGAGGGTTTGGTGGTAAGTTTGTCATGGAACACCAATATAGAACTTGTAGCAGATCAGCAGATCCAATGTATTATTATCCTGGTCAGCATAACCAAGTTCATCCATGTGTAAAACCATTTCTTAATTTCTTAAATTTTTAGGGGATAATTACAAATTTACATTGTTGAGGTTTAAAGTTAGTTTTAAAAATGGATGACGAAGTTTTAATTTTTTTTAGGATAAAGTACAAAAAAACTACTTCAACTATTGATGTCACGACACTTTCATACCTCATCTTTTAAAATTGACAGTGTCATACCGCATCTTACGAATTTGTACCAATGTTATACCTTCCGTTAGCCTGCCGTTAATTTGTTAGTTAAATGATGACGTGACTTAATCCAGACCCCATTTTCTATTAAAATATTAAAAAAAAAATCATTTAATATTTTTAAATATTAAAATAATAAAGAAAAATTAAAAAAAAATTAAAAAAAAAAAAAATCAAAACCTTTCGTCCCATCCACTAGGGCTGGGTTCGGTTCTAATCGGTTTGGTTTTTTCTCAAAACCGAAACCGAACCGAAATTTCGGTTCGGTTCGGTTCGGTTCAAATTTTTTTCGGTTTTTTTCGGTTCGGTTTTTCTCGGTTCGGTTTCGGTTTTTTTTTTTTTTTTTTTTTCTCTCCCCCTCCAAAATTATTAAAAAAAAAAAAAAAAGGAAATATGAAAGTTCACATTCATATTAATAGGCCAGGTGGAATGAAAAATAAGGAGGAGGAGGGTTAGGGTTACACTTAAGGGTTTTGTTAAAAAGATTAAAAAATTAAAAAAATCTCACAAATCCTGGAGACATGAGGGTTCGAACCCATGCCTCCATGCTTGTAAAGTTTCACTGAAACCAACTTGGAAATAGGTTCTGTTTTGTTATGATTGTATGACTAAACTATTTATAAATATTCAAAAAAATTATATATATATATATATCGGTTCGGTTCGGTTTCCGAGCCTCAAAAATCGAAACCGAACCGGTCAGATTCGGTTCGGTTCGGTTTGACAATTTCGGTTCGGTTTTTTTTTTTCGGTTCAGTTTTTTTCGGTCTCGGTCCGGTTCGGTTTTCGGTTTTTTTCGGTTTTCGGTTTTTTGAACCCACCCCTACCATCCACCCCCTCCCCCCTTCTCTCTTTCCCCCATCTTCTTCTTCCCTAAGTAATTTTCAACCAAAAAAAAAAAAAAGAAAAAAGAAAAAAAAATTTGAAAACCCATTAATCCCCAACCCCCCGAAGAAGAAGAAGAAGAAGAAGAAGACTCTCTCTCCCCATCTTCTTCTTCCCTGTGTAATTTTCAACCAAAAAAAAAAAAATATTTGAAAACCCATTAACCCCCAACCCCCCCCGAAGAAGAAGAAGAAGAAGAAGGAAAAAAAAAAACCCCACCCCCCCCCAACAAAAACCAAATCCAACCCCCTGTAACCCAGAAAGAAAAAAGAGGAGGAAGAATAAGAAGAAGAAAAATAAATAAATAAATAAATCCCAGAAAAAAAAAACCCAGATCCCGTTCGCCAGGCCGATTCCCCGAGGTTGGGATGGGTGCAAAGGTTGGTGCTGAGGGTGGATGCGAGGGGAAGACAAACTGGGAAATTTTTTTTTCTTTTTTTTTTCTCTAGGTTGCAGGTAGGGGCTCGGGTGGGGGAGAAAAAGGGGGGATGAGGGAGAAGAAATAAGGACGTGGGGGGGGGGGGTGTGGGCGGCGACGAAGGCTGGGAAGGGATGAAGTGTTTTTTTTTTGTTTTTTTCTTCTTTTGTTTTTTGGGTTGCAAGCTTGCAACAGGTAGATGGGGAAGGGTTTTCTAGGTTGCAGGCTTGCAGCAAGTAGATGGGGGAAGGAGGGGAGGGAAAGGGACGAAATGTTTTTTTTTTTTTTTTTACTTTGTTTTATTATTTTAATATTTAAAAAATATTAAATGATTTTTTTTTAGTTTTTAATAATATTTTATTAATTTTTTTAATAGAAAGTGGGCCCTGAATCAAGCAACATCAGCATTTAACTGAGAAATTCACGCCAAGCTAACGAAGATGAGGTATGACATTGTCAATTTTAAAAGATGAGGTATGAAAGTGTCGTGACACCAATAGTTGAGGTAGTTTTTTGTACTTTACCCCTTTTTTTTTTATTTGCTTATTAATGATTTTATATAAACCAAATTTATACTTTTTGTTAGATTAACCATCAATGTCACATCCCGGCCCGGACCCCCACCACATTCCGGGCTTGACTTCACCGTAGCACGATATTGTTCGCTTTGGGCCCCAACCATGCCCTCACGGTTTTGTTTCTGGGAACTCACACGAGAATTTCCCAATGGAATCATGGGAATGCTCTCGCCCGAATTCGCTTAACTTCGGAGTTCTGATGGAACCCGAAGCCAGTGAGTTCCCAAAAAGTCTCGTGCTAGGTAGAGATGAGAATATACATATAAGACTTACATGATCCACTCCCCTGGGTAATGTGGGATGTAACAATCCACCCCCCTTAGGGCCCCGATGTCCTCGTCAGTACACTTCCAACCAGGGATTGGCTTTGATACCAAATTGTCATATCCTGGCCCGGACCCCCACCACATCCTGGGCTCGACTTCACCGTAGCACGATTTTGTCCACTTTGGACCCCGACCACGGCTTCACAGTTTTGTATCTGGGAACTCACACGAGAATTTCCCAGTGGGTCACCCATCCTAGGAATGTTTTTGCCCGAACCTGCTTAACTTCGGAGTTCCGATGGAACCCGAAGCCAATGAGCTCCCAAAAGGCCTCGTGCTAGGTAGAGATGAGAATATACATATAAGGCTTACAGGATCCACTCCCTTGGACGATGTGGGATGTAACAATCAAGTTAACTATCAACTAATGATGTGAAAGTCTAGAATTCACTCTGTAAGCCTATGTAGGGGAAACACAATCTCAAATGGCCTTAGTGTTGCTTTGTGACAAGATTAGTGGATTTGGAAGGCGAGTTATGCTTTGACACATGAGTAGTTAATGGTTCACTAGATAACCAACGTAGCAAAGTACTTAAATGGACAAATGTCTAAAAATAGGGTGAAAAGATAAAAAGACAGAATTTTGTAACTCCTTTTAGACTAACCTCAAACTTCGATTGTGTCAAATGTACTTAGCTCTTTGTTTTCAGACCCAAAGTTTAAACGTCTAAACTTTAAGGGTTTAACTCATTTGAGACTACAGATGCTTGTTATTGTTTGTTGTTGAAGGTTAGGGTTTTTTTGTGTTTTGCTTTCTTGTCTGTTGTTGGGCTTTGCTTGTGTGAGCTTCTCATGATGTTTTGAGTTGCTGCTCTTTTTTTGTTTGGACTTTTTATGTTAAGTGTAATTTTCCCTCTTTTTATGAAATTTTCATTTTCTAATAAAAAAAAAAAGATAAAAACCACCTTAGTAAGAATAAAAAAAAAGGTATAATAGGAAGACTAAATTTACAAACCAAATAATGTGTCACAAATAAGAAACAAACACGTTAAACCGACACTTAATTAATAATCCAATCATCTACAACCACATCATTTGGTTTACAAATTTGATTTTAAAAATTTAGTCTAT